CTACCAGAAGTGCATCATTTTTTAGAGAAAGGCGCCGGCCGAGCCCAAAAAAGTTGAATCTAGCCTGATTTTGAATTAATAAAGCCATCAACCGGCGAGGATTACATGGTAGCAGCATACAAGAGAAAAGGAAATCGAAGAGGAGATACAGGGTGCTAAGTAGAACAACTCCAAGGCGACAAGCAGTGGTCGAGAACACACCGCGCCGTTGCCAACGACCGTCGCTATGCCTATACCAACTAATAATAAGGTCACAGGAGGAGGGCACCACTGTAGGAGTATTGTGATTGCTGACTGCCACCAAAGGACCAAACATGGGCAGCAAAGATTTGTCTCCGCCGCCGCAAAGGGCCACTACCCTTTCACCCAGGCTCGATGGGTGCCACACCGGCGACTGGCGGAGTGGTTCCCCTAGAACCCAAATCAAGGTGCCAAGCTGCCCAAGGAGGGACAACAGGAGCAGACCCACAAGCAACATTAGCCCGACCACCTAAGCACCGTCATCGGCAGTGGCGAGGTAGAACGTAGGACGTGAGTTTGACCTAGGCAGAACATCGGACGTGAGTTGTCAAAAGAAGGTGCTAAACCACGAAGAAGGCCGAAAAGGGCAGCACCATACATCGGTCATGGGTAGGAGTCACCAAAGCCCAAGGCATACTGCCGGCACCCGAGAAGGACACCAATCTCCTCACACCAACGGTAGGGACCATCCACACCTGGACCGAGCAATCTTTCGAAGATGAAGTCAGGCCAACTCATGTCGTCATCGAACCGCCGCCAACTCGACCACCACTTGAGAAATCCTCGAGCAACGCCTTCAGGAAGTAGCACGCCACCGCGGTGCCGTCATCTCCGAGAACAGGGGATCTAAGGCTTTCACCTGTGCTTCTCGAAGGGGAGGGAATGAGGGGAACATCGCCGAAGCCTCTAGCAAGGTTAGAAGCACCCAAAAGTGCCGCCTCCCGTGTGGCCGCTGCGCCGCCAAGGGATTCCCTTGGATCCACTCCTAGCCACTAATCAGCAGAGACACCACCCAAGAACGGCGACCGAAGCCACGAGGGGCCAGAATCGGCACGAATCCAAGAAAATCAAGGTTGAGGAGAGAACTTCTCCATGGCTAGCCAGAAAACCAGCGAGGGGCCATCGCAACAGATTATGCCCGCCACTTCCATGCCGCCCGCCTACACCCACCGGCATCTCCCGCCACACAGGCCATGCCGCGCGCCACCACCAGGGGACGCCGCCTTGGAAGTTGAGGCTCTCCACATGGGGTGGAGCTGCCAGGATCCACGCCGCCACCTTCACTGGTGCCACACGGCCGCGTCGATGAGCTCCTCTAACAGCGGCGGAGAGAAGGATTGGGATGGTGGCCGAGGCAAAGATGGCTAGGGTTCGCGCCCCCCTCCCCGAGTCGCCTCAGAGGAGGCGGCGGGGCGGTGGAGGGGAGGGCGGCATGCATCATTTTCAGACAACTTTGCTTCAAGGATGGATGCGTAGCTCGAGAGCTATTCAAAATATTTGCGTTGGCCAAACTAAAAACTCGACATGAAGTATATTCTTTAAAAAGAAGCACGACCAAAAGGAAGAACCCGTAGCAATTATCACACCAATAGATCGAGTGGATGAAGAAATCCAACATGGGACAAAGATCTTACGCTAAAAAGTCTTCTCTTGTAGAAACAGGTCAGTTTAGACCCGCAGCAACATAGCTGATCAGCTTCATACGGCAAATCAGGAGAAGCTCAGAACCCTAGGTGGAGTAGAGCAGGAAGACGACCAGGCCATGGATAAGACTTAGGTGTAGAAATGTAGTCTAAGGGCTCCTTTGATTAAAAAGATTTTCAAAGGAATTTTGGAGAACTAGATCCTTAAATAAAATTTCTATGTTGGTTCTTTGATTCATAAGATTGAATCCTATTGGATTTTTTCCTAAGGATTTTTTGTTAGAAATATGACCTAGAGGCAATAATAAAGTGGTTATTATTATATTTCCCTGTTCATGATAATCGTTTATTATCCATGCTCTAATTGTATTGACCAGAAGCTCAAATGCATGTGTGGATACATAGACAACAACATGTCCCTAATGAGCCTCTACCGAACTAGCTTGTTGATCAAAGATGGCTATGGTTTCCTAGTCATAGACATGAGTTGTCATTTGATAACGGGATCACATCATTAGGAGATCATGGTCGTATCAAGTTTATTGCTATAGTTTTCTGCATGTCAAGTGTATGTTCCTATGACCATGAGATCATGCAACTCACTGACACTGGAGGAATGCCTTGTATGTACCAAACGTCGCAACGTAACTAGGTGACTATAAAGGTGCTCTACAGGTATCTCTGAGGAAGTCTGTTGAGTTGGCATGGATCAAGACTGGGATTTGTCACTCCGTATGACGGAGAAGTATCTCTAGGCCCTCTCAGTAATACAGCATCACAATGAGCTTGTAATCAATGTGACTAATGGGTTAGCCACGAGATCTTGTATTACGGAATGAGTAAAGAGACTTGCCGGTAACGGGATTGAACTAGGTATGGAGATACCGACGATCGAATCTTAGGCAATTGACATACCGATAGACAAAGGGAACTGCATACGGGATTTGCCGAATCCTTGACATCGAGGTTTAGCTGACAAGATCATCATAGAATGTATAGGAACCAATATGGGCATCCAGGTCCGGCTATTGGTTATTAACCATAGAGGTGTCTCGGTCATGTCTGCATAGTTCTCGAACCCGCAGGGTCACACTTAACATTTGGTGACGATATATGTATAGTTGAGTTATTATGGTGGTAACCGAAGGTTGTTCGGAGTCCCAGATGAGATCCCGAACGTGATGAGGAACTTCATAATGGTACGGAGGTGAAGATTGATATATAGGACGAAGGGAAGTGTTCCAGGGACACTGGGTTATGACCAGGATGACCGGAAGGGGTTTTGAGGGGCCCAGGCAAGTGTTGGGGGGGCCTCATAGGCCTAGGGGAGGGAGCACACCAGCCCACTAGGGGGCTTTGCACCCCCCTCGGCCCATCCTACGAGACCAGGAAGGGTTGGTGCGCCCCTAGGGCTACCTCCTCCTTGCTTGGGGGGCAAGGCACCTAGGGGGCACCCAAAACCCATCTAGGGTTGGCCTTGTGGCCGCCGCCCCCACTAGAGGAAAACCTAGGGTGCCTCCTCCTCCCCCTTCCCCCTATATATAGAGGGGGGGGAGGGCAGCCGCACCCCGATGTGGTGCGGCTGCCCTCCCTCCCCTCGTAGCCTTCTTCCTCTCCGTAGTGCTTAGCTAAGCTCTGCTGAGATTCCATCACCACCACCGCCACCACGCCGTCGTGCTGCCAGAGGACTCGAGCTACTACTTCACCATAGCTCGCTGGATCGAGGATGTGAAGGCATCATCAAGCCGTACGTGTGTTGAAAGCAGAGGTACCGTCCGTTCGGCACTTGGATCGGGAGTTCGCGGGACGGATCGTCATTGGATCACGAAGACGTTCGACTACATCAACCGCGTTGCTTAACGCTTCCGCTTAGCGATCTACAAGGGTATGTAGATGCAATCTCTCCTCTCGTAGATGTTCATCTCCTATATTGATCTTGGTGAGCGTAGGAATTTTTTTTGTTTCCCATGCAATGTTCCCCAACATTTTTTCGTACTACTTCCCATAGGATTCTAGCATCCACTCAAACATCTTTGAAAGAATCCATTGTTTCTCCTATGATGCAATCAAATAACCCAAAATCAAATAGGATTGAGATGGGCATGTTAAATCCTATGTTTTTTTATTCTCACGTTTTCAAAATTGTATGATACAGGCCCTGAGTTACTATTTTGTCGGTAGTTGACTAAACAGAATAACTAACTTTCCCAGACAGTACAACATGGACAATAAGGTGATGTATGCAGAAGGACAACATTCAGATTCATTGCGGGGCACAGTTGGGCTTGCACACTGTTCAGAACCAAGTTCTCACAACAAAATACCATGTGAAATAGAATTGATTGTGAATGGTTTTGATTCTTATATTATCAGTTCAAATATTTGTGCTCCATACAACCAAATCCCATTGAAACATATTGCAAACAACTTCTGAAACAATGTATGGTGTATCATCTAGTATACACCTAAATATATGATCCTCGCTAACATATTTCTCTCGACAATCAAATGTCACCTCCGGAGACATATCACCTTATAACATGCAAACATGCATGAGAAAATGCTAAAGCCGTTTCCAATTTATTATACTACTTATACAAAGAAACAAATATCCTTCTGAACATGCAAATGGTTGATGGTTTTCTTTCATTATGTTATGCTACTTATATTTTTACAAATATTTACATTTGTACAGTAATCAAATATAATAGAACACATGTATTTTTATGGAAACTTATGACGTATCAGGTGGAAACCTCATCTTGGTGCAAATATGAAAACTTACGCTATGAACCATCTAATCTCAAATGTACAGTGGAGAAACAAGGTGGGAGGCATCCAACAACATTATGCTTCTGACTTGGAATTCCAACATGACCAAGAACAAAAGATTAGCACATGCGTTACACATGTGCTTTATCGTTCACTGCTAGTGCCAGGGAAAATAGGTGATTCCCACTGGCCAATTTTCCTCAACATTCAAATATGTCAGCAGTCATGTCACCTTATAACATGCATCAGAAAATGCTAAGTCATTTCCATATTGAACAACATTTTAAAACTATATAATAATCAAGAAAAATCTTATGTATTTTAGTTTCTGTTTTTATATTATTAATCTAAGTATTCATGTTCTATACAACTAAATCTCACCGAAATGTGCTGCAAACAATTTCCACGTCAATGACGGTACCCCGTAGGGCATCATCTAGTTGTTTCAAAACAGCAGATACATAACTCTGGTTCAGGAACGAAGTGGAGTGCTGATAACATCAGGGCAGCGAGCAATCAAAGTTCGAGCAACATATTAGAGTAACTTGTACAGGAAGCTGTGTGTCAATCCAAGGTTCTCCAGGTGATCTTCACCGAAATCATGGTAAATTCGTCAAGATTCACCACTTTAGGCTAGTCATAGTGGGAGTAACTTAAGTAGTAACATAACACACTTCAAGAAAATTTTGCTTATGCGGCATGTAGTTAATGAGGAGAGAGGTATTTAGAGTAACATAATATGTTACTGTAACATAGCGCTTCCCAAAAAAGGATGAGTCTACAAGCTAATAAATGAGGCCATCTATGACACTAGTTACTTTGCACTATGAAGGTTGTAACTTCGACTAGTGTCATATACATGACACTAGTATAAGTTACTCCCCAATATGACCAGCCTTATCTACTATTCCATGATAGCAAGTGTCGAAGCTGTCTTCCCACGCACCACAGGGCAGCCGCTTCTGAGAAAGTCCGTCATCTTTGGGGGTCCCTTCGATACGAAGATACACGCAACTCCGTATCACCACGGCTACAACTGAACTTATTTTGCAGCCAGCTTCTGCAACTCCCTGGTAGAGAGGAATCACATCTTCGTAACCACTGGTCTTGGCATAGAGATTCAGATTAAGGCCACAATCAGGAGCACGGAGTATCTCAACATCAACGAATGCCTGGACTGCATTAATCAGCGCCGCAAACTTGACATCTAGTGAAAACTTGTCCCCATAAAGACGCCGATTTTGAATGGATGATTCTGTTGTGTACATGGTGCTGAATTCAGTACGTCCTTCAATAAGAAGGTCGCCTTTGGGCCCATCTTCCTGTGGGTCTTCAGTACATATACAGAGTTTGAATTCAAATAGCACACGGCTCCTTATGCCAATACCTCGAGCAGAGCTAGTCAGTGATAAACGTGCCATACCCTACAATTTGGATCAACAGGCATGACATCCTATACTTTAATTAGTGATTACTACAATAGATCGGCTGCAATCACTACAACTGTCTGGTCTGGATATAATTAAGTGTTATGTCTAATAGTGAATTAGTGAGATTATTTGACTCGGCGTGATACCTTTAAACTGGATATTACTGAACTATTGCAGCATGCACTCAGGTGAGTATCTCAAACTTCCAGAATAAAGCCTAAATATAATAATTTTTTCAATACAGTGCTTGCATCTCATGCACGTGTATTGTAAGTATGATTAAAGAATCAGGCCAGTAGAAAGTTGCAAGTTTGATAGTCAGATTACCGTCTTTGGCTTCACAGTTACAGCTTCATAATTCTCAATTTGACGCCTATAGACATAATTGCGCAAAGGTTCGACCCGATCCCGCGCTGCGAAAAACCCAAATATTTTGGCACGTCCAGGCCGGGCATGCTGATAGCCAGCGATTTTGAGATCAACGAACTGCACCATGTCCATCGATCTGCAATAACCCTTATGTGAGCAATCAACGGTCCCAACATTGCTGAAACTGACTGCAAAATTAACAAACAGAGCATGAGGTATTATCAGAGATCTATAGTCATGAACAAATGATGAGAGAAAATCTGCTTTGTTTCATCAAGAGTGGTTCAGTTCTGGAAAATATACTACCAAATCCTGTTTGTTCATTGTTATCACAAAGGATTGACAAAGGAAGAGCTGAGAAGTGAGCAGAGGAGGGATCTGGAATGTAGTTTGGATTTGGGGGTGGATGGGGAAATGCTCAAATTTCTTTCATTTGATGCCAATCTGAATAGACGAACAGGATAACACTTGACAATTGACAGCAGGTAAAGCTAACTAACCACCCGGGTTCAATTCCTAGATTGACAGCTGATGCACAAGGGTTTTCCCCCATTTATTGAGGATCAAGTTTGGTGTGTGATGGGACCACTCATCAAGATATCTTGGTACTCATAAAAAAAATTCTTCCTAAGCTGAGAAACTTTGGACTTTTCTCTTGATGATAATTTGATGCAGGGCATCTCAGTGACAGAACTTTAATTAAAAAAACACTTACTTTCAGATTCATCGGCAAGTTGATACTCCATATCACATGAATGCCGACTTTCTGGCTTAAATGCTGGAAATCTCCTAAGCGGTCTTGGGCCTCGGATAGAAATCTCTGGATTCTTATACACGGCAACTGTCTGCTCATCATCACTGCTAACCCTTGGGAAATCATCAACTGTAAAAGGGCGGTACTTCCCTACACACGAAATCATTAACCAAATCAACAACAACAAAAAACATTGAGCACCATCTATCATTGATTTTTTGACAAAGATCTACCATTGATTTAGAAGCCAAAATTATTAGATGGGTCACTTGAGAAATATTCCTCGAAAAAGTATATATCACTTGAGAAAGATTAGCTGTCAAAACAATTGCAGTCTACAAGGCTGTATACATGCGTCGAATTATATGTTCTTTTGAAGTGAAAATTACCATTAATACCAAGTGTGTGTGTGTGTGTGTGTTATTATTACAAACATGTTCGCAGATTGGAAGATCAGGTAGGATCTTCACTATGGTTAGATTCAGTACAATTAGACCTAATTAGTGGAGAATAACAATCTCCAATAAAATAAAGTAGCCGAGCACCAGTGGAATAGCCAGCTAAATTTTAAGTTACTTGTAACCTTTTCCCAGAAACTCTACTTATAAAATGATTTGCCATATTCATGTTTATTAGTTTAAGATCAAGAGTGTGTGACCATTTAAATATTATTCTCCCCAAAAGGCATTATTGTGTTACAGAAATGCTAACAACATACCTAAATCTGAGTAGCTGGCACAGGTTACCCAAAGAAAAGATCAACAGTTTGTCCAGCGGTGGTTCAACTATTGAACGAGGTCTCAATTTCGTACAAGTAGTTAGCAACGCAATGTATTCGGTTGAAATTCAAAGTTTCAAACACTGACGGTGTTGGTGCAACTAATTCAGCAAGATATTCTTTAGTATTGCACGAAAATCTTGTTGATAAAGGTTCTTACATCAAGGAGCACTGGTTTCTAATTGAGAGAGCCAATTGCATCAGGATACACATAGATCTAAACTAATCAAGTACAGAACAGAAGCGTCGAATCAACTACGGAGGAAGCAGTGCCTTACCGTGGTATTCATCCTCCTCTTCGTCGTCGCTGAGCGCCCAGGGGTTGTCGTCCTCGTCGCTGGTGGTGGACTTGGACGAGTCCGCAATTCTGAGGAGTTGAGGGGGAAAGCGGCCGCTTCTTGCCGCAAGCGGGGCGAGGGGACGGAGCTAATACATCTCCGCGTCCGTCTACCTCCATGGCGCGGGGACTCGATTATTTGCCGTTACTTAATTTGGACTTGGAGGATTTCAAGTGCACGTTAGGGCAACTCCAGCCCCAGATGGCGCCCTAAGCGGCAATTTCGCTAACTGGCACGACATGACAAATGAGCCGGCCCATGTAGGTTTGTTTATTCCACAGTTTTCCGCGCATTTTTTTTGCGCGTTTTTTTCTTGCGGGTTTTCCTGGCATGGGTTTGTCTTGGGTTTTCGTTTTTATTTTATTTTTAATTTACAAATGCGTGAATTCTTTTCAGATTAAAGAACTTATTGCAAATTCATGAACTTTTCAAATTCTCGTGAACTCTGTCATTTTTTCCAAAATTTCCCAAATTACGATTTTTCTAATTCGTGATTTTTTCAAATTCTGTGATTTTTTTAAAATTCATGAAAGTTTTACTAGCAAATATGCCTGTGCGTTGCAACGGGTGAAAAACAATCAGATTATGTAGATGTGTGAAGATTTTGTATAATTTCATGGACATTTTTTAAAATTCCCGAATATGTTTTGAATACATGATCATTTTTTAAAAATTATGAACATTTCTTATTTCACGTAAAAAAATTGAAATTGCATTTTTTTATAATATGCAAACAGTTTTCGGAATCACGGAAATTTTATGATTTCCTGATTTTTTTAATTCACAAATATTCTATAATTCTCGATTTTTTTAAACTCACAGCTTTCTGAATCTGTTTTAATTTCTGTGAACATTTTCAAAATTTTCATGGGCATTGTTTTCAAATTTCTGAATATGTTTTGAATACACGATTATTTTCTGAAAATCATGAGCATTTTCTATTTCACGAGCATTTGTTTGAAATCATGAGTTTGCTAATACGCGAACAATTTTTTGAAATCACGAACATTTTTTGATTTCCCATTTGTTTTTTGAATTCAAGAACATTTTATGATTTCTCGATGTATTTTATCAAAACTCGCAACTTTTTTGAAAAAAGAAATTTAAACACAAATTAATTTAAAGAAGGAAAAGCAAAAAAATGAGAAAGGAAAAAACAAAAAAATGAAATAGAAAAACAGGGGGCGTCACGAGCGGCATATGGGTCGGCCCATTACCGCGTGCGGGCGGAGGTGTGCTTGCTATATAAGAGAGAAACGAGGCAAGTTAGTAGAGCCAAGGATCAAACCTTAGCCTCCCGCGTGGAAGTAAAAGGCCTTAGCCATTGCGCTACTTGACTGCACATGGTGTATCAGGGTATCATGCTTATAAGAATCGAACACGCCGGTGATTTTGGAAATAATCGAATCGTTTTCTTTACTTATGGATGGCATGGTGGGTAATTTACGACTACTTTGAGGACAATTTTAATGACGTACGACCAGAAGCAGTCATTGCTTTATTATTATATATATAATATATATATATATATATATATATATATTAAGGAAAAATATATGTGAACTTTTTTCAAACTTTTTTTTGAAGTTTTATGAACTTTTTCCTATTTTTTGAACATTTTTAAAGTCAATGGTCAACTGTCCATGGCTTACAAGGTGAATGCGTTGATTGCCCCTGAAGGTCGGATGGTGGAAGATGGCAGCGACTGATTCTAGAGTGTGCGCATGCGGTGCACGCAAAGGGTCTGCTAGACCGGTTGGTGCTCTCGACTTGCCGGCGGGCGGCTTAGTGAGACCACTGAATTAGACGGGATGTGTTGATGTGACATCGGGGAGAATCATCAAACTTGTAGGTGCAACCATTGTGGTTGCGAGAAAGATGGCTTTGAGTTGATCTGTGTACTTGTTTTCTCGCGTTCTACTGAATAATATAGTAAAAATGGTTATTGCATCGCTTGATGCAGAGGCCGGGGTTATCCTCCTTTTCAGAAAAGTAATAATTTTCTAGATGATGATGTTGCTTGAAAAGATTGCATATTATGATATCTCATTTTTTAAATTTAAGCATATTTTTTCTTGTGGGTGTAGCAATAACATCGGCGGTTCAAAGATAAGGCGCAATGGTGTGACGTCCCCGATTCAATCGTACACTAATTATACACACAAATGTGTACGATCAAGATCAGAGACTCACGGGAAGATATCACAACACAACTCTAGTAACAAATTAAAATAATACAAGCTTTATATTACAAGCCAGGGGCCTCGGGGGCTCGAATACATCAGCTTGAATACAAACGAGTCAGCGGAAAACAACAATATCTGAGTACAGACATAAGTTAAACAAGTTTGTCTTAAAAAGGCTAGCACAAAAGCAACATGATCGAAAAGGCAAGGGCTCCTGCCTAGGAGCCTCCTAACTACCCCTAGTCGTCGGCGGCCTCCACGTAGTAGTAGGCACCCTCGGTGTAGTAGTAATTGTTGGTGGGGACATCTGACTCCTGGACTCCGTCATCTGGTTGCGTCATCCGAGAAGAATGGAAAAGGGGGAAAAGAGGGAGCAAAGCAACTGTGAGTACTCATCCAAAGTACCCACAAGCAAGGATCTACACTACATATGCATCGGTGTCGATGAAATGTGTAGTATCTGTGGACTGAACTGCATAATGCCAGAAGAGAAGGGGAAAGCCTAGCCTATTCAAGACTAGCATCTTCAAGCAGCTTCAAGCATCTTGCAGCTTCAGAAGAGAGAA